AAAAAAAAAAGTTGTCTTCTTATTACTGGTAGTTCTGAACGTATTTTTTTTCCCAAGGGGTCAAAAACTACCAAGGTATGTGATTTGATTTTGAGTGGAAAAATAGGGGCAGACAACCAAGCACTGGCACGTTTTCCATTTTCATTTGTGCATGAATTTTTAATATAAAAGTGGAGACTTATAGCATGAATGCAGGTCAGAATGCTTAAGCAAGCAAGTTTAAATGGTTTGAATTTTATAACAATTATAAAAAAACCTATTAAGTTTTTCTGGCTCATACCAGCATTTGAATTTTCTTCAGACAAGCAATTTCTTATCTATAGCAGCTAAATGGAGTTCGTAGCATCTTTATCCCATGGTAGATCCCCTCCAAAGCACCACACTACATGACAGCTGTACATCTTTCTTGTGGGCCACTGCTGTAGCTTTGCCACTGAAATACGTTAAGCTATTTGAAAAAATCTTTCTGTAATTTCAATTTTCTTTATGCATCTGAATATGCTGTGTTAGCCTTCAAAGTGAGGTAGTGATCTCAGGGATGTAAATGAGTTTAGCATTCCTAGTTTCTTAGGATGCATCTTAGTCATGGCAGTAGTGTGAAGGGTTCGGGGCTCAACACACATAGCAAGCTTTCCCTGCCATAAGGAACTTAAATGAAGTTTCTGGAAAACAGAGCACTATTTTCAGTTAGCATGACAAAGTATAGGGATAGTGTCGTATTCATTAAACGGACTTGATTTGTAATTCCTGATGTGTGGTTGGTAAAGTGTGAATAAGGATAGGCATTGAATCTGCTTTCACAACCAGCTCATCACGGAATACTAGGATGAGCCGGCAGACACTGTATGAACAGAATGTGTTTACACCTTCATCACCTTTATCTTTGAAGAAATGTTTAGAATTTTGTGTCACACTTGTACAAATGTAAGAATATTTTGTCAGTTATTTTAAAATTATATTCATTGTGAATAACACCAGTGGAGAGATAGCTGCGATAAGTATTTGCTGCAACTTCATTCTCAGTAGGCTTGTAGGAACCCTGGGATGGGGGGGCAAACACATCCCCAAGCTCCTCTTAGTGCCTCAGTAAGTAAACTTACCTGAGAAGAAGTCATTGTGCACAAACAGTTATCATGGTTCTATGAGTTCCCTTAAAAACATGTGGCCTCTCACCAAGGAGAAAAAATTATTGGCATAGCAGGTTAGCTTGAAAACACTGCCACCAAGTTTTGCATTAAGTCAACAAACATATATCAGTCACCGGGACACAGCGGGACAATACTCAGTCTCTGTCCCAAAGAGTAGATCCATCAAGATGTGAAATGGGAATAAAATCCAGACTCATTAGACATTAGGTAATCCAGATACTAGGTTGTCACTAACTAGAAAGTTGTACTTTTTTTTTAATTGAGGTAGAATTCATATGCCATAAAATCACCAGTTTAAAGTGGATAAAACAGTGTTTTTTTAGTACAGTCACAAAGCTGTGCATCATCACCTGTGTCTGGTTCTGGAACATTCTTCAAAAGAAACCCTATACACTTTATCAGTCACTACCCATCCTCTCCATTCACCAAATCACTGGTAACCACTAATTTACTCTCTTTCTCTATAGATTTGCCTTATTCTGGACATTTCATATTAATGGAGTCACATAGTATGTGGCTTTTTGTGTCTGTCTTCTTTCACCCAGCATCATGTTTTCAGGGTGCATCCATGTTGTAGCCTTTGTTGGTGCGGCATTCCTTTTTGTGGCTGAGAAATGTTCCTCTGTGAACAGACCAAGTTTTGTTTATCCATGCCACAGGCAACAGGTATGCCCTTGGCTTTAAAATTGTGTTTCTGAGAAAGCTGCTTGTTTAAAATAGAATTTTAATTCTGTCAGCTCCTTTGTCTTAGACCTCCTAAGGGTTCCAACTCATTCTGCCTCAAAAGCTTGATGACAAAATTCACTGCTGTAATAAACCAAGCAGACCTTTCATGGAAGTGGTGTGCTGTTACCAGGTCACGCCATGGCTGTGAATGACATCTGTTTAAGATCTTGAGTTGGGTGGAGGGCTCTGGCCCTACTGAACCTGGAGCCTCAGCAGACTTTTATTTTATAGGCCAAACAGCAAACGGGGTGTATGTATGTCTCTGACTTGCAGTCCTCCTCATTTCCTAGTTATAATGTCTGGACCCAGGGGCGTTATTTCCTGTTTGTGTCCCCCTTTGTCAGTTGTTGATTCTGCCTCTGTTGCACTAATATGCAATGCTTTTGACCCTTGGACTTGTTTCAGGCTTTTCTTAAAATCTTTCTTTGTGCCTTTCCAGGTTGACCCAGTGTTTACAAGGGAAGTAAAAGCCAAAGTAAAGAGGTAAGACAGGAGTGAGCAGGTGTTCGCAGGAAAGGCCCCGTCAGGGCCAATAAATTACCCTAAACCCCATGCATATACAGCGCTTGCTCTGTGCCAGGCTCTGCAAGCAGCAGCCGCAAAGGCTACCCTGGGTGATCTCCCCATGATCTAAGGTGCTTCCCTGTTTGACAGGGAAGGAAGCAGATATGCTGAGAGCATATCTCTCAGTGCATCTCACACGTGGGAAAACGGGCAGCCTCACTGATAAAGGGGGGTGGTGGCCGAGAACCACATTGAGATTATAATTTTTGCTGATCACAGTGGCAAAAACTGAAAAGTCTTAAAACATCAAGGGCTTGGTGAAATGGAGGACACCCACACCTCTCATATTCTGGTGATGAGGGTGGAAATTGCTGCCTCCTCTTTGGAGAGCAGTCTGTAGGAGTTTGGGCTATAAACTGCATTTGTCTGCCAGTAACAGAGACCTACAAACACTGGCTTAACACCCTGGGCCTTAATTGCACACATAAAAAATAAAATCTGTATAGTTGGCCCAGGACCAAGTAAGATTCCATGGACCTGGGTCCATGTCTTTCTATCCTGCTGTCCCTGACCTGTGGCTTCCATCCTTAAGGTGACAGGTGCCTGTAGAGTTCACTGGATGCTGAGTTTTAGGTGGGGCCACAAGAAAGGGACAGAAGGATCACATCCCCAGTTTACATGATTTGCTCATTGGCTGCGCCATCAGCAAAGGGGTCTGGGAAGTACAGATTTTACCCCCGTGTATAATAATAATCAGGTGTGTTTATTATATTGCTCAGAAGTGCAGGATGCATGTGTGTAGAACATAAGCAGTTATGTGAAAGAATATGTGTCAGAATCATGGGAGTGGCGAAGAGAGGGACAGACAGAAGCATCGGCGTTTTGGGAATTGAAAAAAATAAGACAAAATGTATATGACAAAATGTGTCAACTCTGGGTGGTGGAACCATGGATATGTGATGCATTATTCTATTTTAGTATCTGCATTTCCCTCTGTGATTATGTATCTATTACTCAGCATTTAAAAAATTATTTGAAAAGGAGGCTGTTTTCTAAATCATACAGAGAAAATGGCAAAAACCTTATCTCTGACCTCCAGTGTTGGAGAAGCACATGTCTCCTTTGTCACATGCTCAGGATGACCGCAGATGTGTGGAGGCCTCCTCCCTCCCTTGCCAGGGAATAGAATAGACCTCATTCCAGTATTGGCATCTGTACTGGACCGTTTATTGATGATGCTTGCTTCTGGATCTAGAGAATTTCTCCAAAACTGGCCTCTTCCCGCCCCTGCCTGTGGGACCCCCAGCAGGGAGAACACGCTCCGGCTCTGTGTTGTTTCAGGACCTCAGGGGTGCGGCTGATTGGGGAGATGGCCCAGGAGGACCTCCACGCGCTGGTGAAGAATTGCTCCGCGGTGGTGAATAGCTCTGTTTCTGAAGGCATGTCAGCCGCAATTCTGGAGGTGAGAAGGCAACTCGAGTCTGAAAGTGAACATAGGAAATTGTCCATATCCCCACTTTCTTATTTATGGAGGTGGTATCCTTGTCAAAGTCCTGCATTTCTCAAAGCTGAAAGCACCAAGCAGCACTTCCTTGGGAGTTCAAAAGTGGTTGTTAAGTTCTTCTGGGGACTTGAAAAATACCATCTCATTTCTTATTTTCATTTCTTCTTGCCAGCTACAAAACAAAATGAAACTACCTCTTCAACACACTAAGTATCTTTAATGGAAAAGTGCCCGTTACAAAAGGTCAGGACAGGAAAAGGGATGAAGGTGTGTTTTTGCAAGAGCCCTCTTTTTTCTTGATTTGTGTCTCGCTTTTTTCAGTATATTACAAAACCCCAGAACTTAGGCATAAGAGGGCTTCTGCAGGAGGCAGGGGTGGGGGTTCCTTGGAGAGCGTAGTTACAGTACACCTGGGATCGAGGGTTGAGCTGATCTCTCTGCCTAGCATCAGCTCTGTAAAATCACTTAACCTACTTTGGCTAAATGTGCACATCCCAGCACCACCCTGCAGCCCGTGTGAGTATCTGTAGTTTGTAGGGAGAGCCTGGAATAAAAAACCTCTGCTCTTGAGATCCTGGCCGGCTGTGGCTTGACTGTGTCACCCAGTCTATAGACAGGTTGGCTCCAATCCTGCAGCCCCTCTGCAATTTCCTCTCCTCACTGGAGTGCTTTGTGTGGTAGTGTATTTTCCAGAACAGCTTAACTGAACCATGCTAGTTACTTGAGGTACTCACCAGCCTGCATGTGACACAAAAGGATTTTCCTTTTTCTTGCTTTGTCGTTAGTACATTCGCATCCCTTGAAGAGGGACCTTAGCAAAGGGTAGACTTGGTTGGCTCCTGTCAGGGCATCATTCACAAGCTGCAGCACCCAGGACATCTCTTCTGGTTCTCAACTCATGCTGCTCACAGTGACCTGGGGCCAGCACCTGACCTGTGTGTGCCAACACCTGCCGTGGGAAGGACAGGTGGGCCACAGTCCTCCAGGTCTTTGTACCAGGCTTCACGTTCTCTTTCTCCCTCCCTGAGTTTCTTATTTCAGTGTCTCAAAGGGATGCTATTATCATATCGTAAATATTGGCAATATCCATTTATTGCTTTGGACACTGGTTGAATTTACTGAGCGGCCTGGGAAAAGGTAATAACAATTTGTGAACGTTAGTGTTTCAGAGAACACGGAAAATAACTGAAGGAGGAAAAAAAAAAGAATCCTGCCTAAATTTAAGAAATGACTGCTGTTGGATGCCTAATATTTCTTTTCAGTGTGGCATCATTTAAAAAACAAAAAACAAAACAAAACAAACGAAAAACCCCAAACAAATAACGGGGGCAGAGGTAGACGCTGTGCATGCACGCCTGTGATTCCAGTGTTCAGATGCTGTCAGAACGTACAGCTGGGCTTGTAAGGGGTTTGTCTTCAGCCAGATGTCAATAGCTCAATCTAAGTTTAATGATTAGCACTTATCTTCATTATGATTTAAAATCAGCTTCAACTACAGTCAGTGGAGTTATACATTTTGCTGCTCATTTTGGCTTTAAAAAGGCACATTCTTCTAGTACCAGTCCTTGAGCTGGGGCTGAATTGCTCTTTTGTATGTAGATATCCTTTTTTTCCCCAACTTCTTAAGAAACGGTGAGGTGGAATTCTGAAATGATTTTGTAACTAGCATAAACAGCGTTTAGCTGCAGATGAATTGCTGTCAAATCTCACTGACTTCAAAGGAAAGGCAGCCGTTGGCAATTCTGACTGCCTTAAATGCAGATATTGGCTCCTTTTGAAAATTCCAAAATAGCCTTTGGGCCAAAGGTTTTGAATGAAACTCCATTGAGAGGTGTGGAAAGGGAACATCTCACTAGAATCAATTCCGGTAACCAAAGGGGTTAACCATAAAATAAAGCATTTTGCTTTTGAAGGAAGGGCTCTTTTGACCTTTCAGAATTAGCTTTGTTTTCTCATGGAAGCATAGAAAAGTCCTACTTGTTCAAATACATTCCTTACTGATAAACCTAAAAATCAAACTTCAGCTGATTTAACTTGAAATTCATTGTTTCAAGTTTGAACTTATTATGGAGTTGAATTCTACACGGAATTAAATTAAAATAATACAAAAAAGTATTTTCTGACCCCAGACTTCCTAATTAGGCTCTCCTTCCCTGGAACATACACACGCACACACACATACTCAGGTCTAGGGTCCTAGTGTTGAAGATTAATTTAAGGGCTTTTCAAGTGTAATTTTGACCTTGGCTAGTTTCAGGTGAGTGTGTCAAAATGCCATTGGCATCCCCCTTCAGAGATATGCTGACCTTGATGATGTCATATCCAAATGCAGTATAAGATCAGTGCCCACTGGGGCCCACCACGCCCCCACCTGACCCGCAATAGCATTGTCTGGACACACTGTCAGTCAGGGACATTGAAGTGCAGGCAAACCACCTTGTAAGAACATGGTCCCTGGAGGTCTTCATCCTAGGATGTGTATCAAAATTCCCTCTGGATCTTAAAGACCCACAAATTTAAGTGATAGTGCCCACCCTTCAGAAGACTGGCATCACCATGCAAGCGTGGAGCCCTAGCAGCTGTTTTTAAGGCCGATTCCCAGTGTAGAGAGAGGACAGTGTCTCTGGAACCCTCTGTCAGCTCTGCCAAAAGGCTGGGCTAGCTACAGATGTTTTTAAAACAGTCGAAATATGAGGTTTCCATCCACCTGATAGAAAGCTAAAGAGCTCATGGGTGAGAAAAGGCATCAAGTGACAGCAAGCTGTGCTCGGATGTCCCACACCCGGGGCCCAGAGCGGAGCCGGATGCCAGGTCTGGGCCTCTCAGCTCCGACGCCGAGCCTCACCCGGCTGTCTGTTACCTGACAGCATGTGTCCAGAGGGTGGTGCTCATTCCCAAATACTGTCTAGCACAGGCCATCACCAGGCCCACCACCTTGGTGTCTCTGGGCTTTGCCTTTTCTTAAAGAAACAGTTTGTTTTTAAGATTGGTGACGTCAGCCTTAAAGGAGTCAACTTCACGCCTTAACAAAGTCACTTAAGAATCAGCTATCCGACTGCTTAATGCCACGTCTTGGCTATATGAAAACAGGATTGCAGTTTGCTTATTCATTCCCGCAACGTTTACTTTCTTAAAGGCTGTGTTTAAAGCCAGGCCTTCAAAATTAACTTTCTGAGAATATACAACCAATCAGTCACATTTCAGTAGCTTCTCCCCCCGACTTCACAACTTCCCATCCCAGGCTGTGCTCCTGGAAGGCAAGGCACATGGCCTCTGCAACCTTGGGTTCCTCTCTCCACATCTAGTTTAGTGCCATCAGTAATCAATAAGTATTGATTATTGGGATCAGTAATATGCTCATTCAGCAGAAGTGTGTATGTCCCGGGTGAGCGGGCTCTGAGCCTGGCCCTGGAAGCACAGCAGTGAACGGGGTACATGGAAGTCCTGGCTCATGAGGAATTCGTGTTCTTGTGGGGGATGGAAAGAAGGATTAGGAAACAGGAAGCGAGTGAACCAACAGGAGAACATAGGGTTCTGGAAAGCAGTGGGTGCTCTGTACGCACTGAAGCGGTGCAATGACTAAGTGGCCAGTGGTCAGAGGCCTTGGCAAGCATCAGAGTCTGAATTGTGTCCCTTGGAAGTCAGTATGTTGAAGTGCTGACCCCCAGTTCCTCAGAACTTAACCTTATTTAGAGATAAGGTCTTTACAGAGGCAGTCAGGTTGAAACAAGGCCATCAGAGTGGGGCCTACTCCAGTCTGACGGGGGCTCCATAAGAAGAGGGAAGTTGGGTGGACAGATGTGTGCAGACACTCACAGACACAAGAAGACGGCATGACCAGCTGAGGAGAGAGGCCTGGAGCAGCCCCTTCCCCACACGGAAGGAAGCAGCCCCGACCCCTGCCGACACCTTGATCTCAGACTTCCAGCCTCCAGACCCAGGAGACACTGCATTTCTGCTGTTTAAGCCGAGGCAGCTTCTCACCCCAGGAGAGTAATGCAGGGAGAGAGGGGCCCCGGAGCTCAGGCCAAAGTGAGGCAGTTAGGGTCTGCAGGGGAGAACCTGGGGAAGGAACAGCCAGAGGTGTGCTCAGCGGAATGACACGGGCCCATACCTGGTTCATTCTGCAGTGCTGCCTGATTCCAAGCTGCCTTCCTACCACAAGAGACGGCCTGGCTCTAACCGAAAACATACCAGCAGCCACCTGTGCAGCTCTAACGCTGCAGGAGGTCCTGTTTGGGCGTGAGGAAGGGAGCTTGCCCAGTGTTCGGCCTCACCTATTCCCGACCTCAGACAATCTCTAATGAACAAATCAAAATGCTGTTTTCATACAGCCCAGACAAGACATCCAAGAAAGATAAAGTCACCCAATTTATCTGTTAACAGACTGCAAACAAGTTTGGGCAATAAAGGAAACCCATTAATGTGTGTTCTTTGACATGGCCAGGCTCATATATAACATTTCATTTTATTTGTTACTGAAACAATAGAAAGTGAGCGATAAGGTACTTGGGATGGTCTCAGAAGGGTCAGAGCAGAGAGGTGTTCCCACATCTCCTCCATCTTCTCAGGCCTGGATGCCAAAGTCAGTGTCCCAGGAAGATGCCGGCGGTGTAGAGCCTGACATAGAACCAGTGAGCTCACCGCAAGGCAGCTGCTCACGATCAGATGGCCACAATGCCAAGCCCTGACTCAGAATTAATTTATATACAGACGCTTCTGGGGCATTTGTTCTAAAAGTATCCATGAGGGCCTGCTGGGTACACACACTGCCCTGGGCACATGGGTGTCAGCAGCTTATCTGCTATATGAACTTCTTGGTGTCATCGCACTTCCCACCACAGTATATAAGCAGCTGGGATAGGGTGAGTTTCCCTTTCTGAAAACTGAATTTACCTCTTCTTGATAAAATTTTTATTACGTGAAAGTAGACACCAGGGGCAGAGTCACAGTACCTAAAACGTCCTTGTGTATAGTAGAAGCCAGATCATTGTTTTCATTGATGATGCAAGCCAGTTGGGAAGGGGTGTCCTTCTTATCTGCTAAAAGGCACCTGCAAGCTGGGTTGGTCCTGGTTAAAGGAGCTGCAGGGGATTCAATGTAGGAGGCTAAAATAGACCTCAGAAGAGCAGGTCTCATCCTATACCTTTCTAGGTCTGGTTCTCCAGAACTGTAAGAAGAGAGCCCAGAAAGTACTGCCTTCCCACATGAGGGCAACACTGCACCCTGGGCTTCCCAGCATCTTTCTGAGATCTCAATGCCAGTGTGTGCCTGTTTTCAGGGTGCCACATGCTGATCCCAGCCCTTTGGGCATGGAAAGCCTGCTTCATGAATTATCAGAAGGGCAAATTGTGTCCCTTCTTATACTTGTCTGTGCCGGAGAGTCATGTTATGTCTTCGTGGCATTCATCCTGTTTATGCTGGAAGGAAATTACTTATCAGGAAAAGTAATGATGGTAATTCAAGGTGTGCATTCCAAAGTGTCACCGAGGAAGTGTCAAAGGCACATTTGGAGAGAAGGGGCTTCTCAGTGATATCACAGTAATTATGCCAGACCAACTCCTGCAGTGTCCAGTTTTCCAGAGCCTGCACATACAGTAATTAAAGTTCAGCATGTTCTTGCAAACCCAGTGTTTGCATTGGGATATCATTATGACAAGCTGTATTTGGTGAGGTGACACAGGACCACTTAACCTAAGAAGTTACTTTCCCACAGACTGGCTTATCTCACCAGAAAATGACTGCCCACTGCCTGCTTTCCTCCTAATCCTCCAGGCGATGGACTTGGAAGTTCCGGTGCTGGCCAGGAACATCCCTGGGAACGTGGCAGTGGTGAAACACGAAGTGACTGGATTACTCTTTTCAGATCCTCAGGTAAGGAAGAGCGATTCCCTGTGTTCAGCGTCTGTCTTCATTCAGAGGGTTTGTGATTTCCCTCTTTGTGTGTGTGTGTGTGTGTGTGTGTGTAAGCAATCTGTATTCCTCTTACTCTAACCAGCAGCCCCTTGTGCAGCATAGTTGTCCCCATGATATGCAAAGCGCCCAGGCTCCTGGGATGTGCCCCCAGGTGTCCACCTGCCTTTGAACCCCTAAGGCCCATGCGGGGCATGGCTTGGGCCCAAGTCTCAAGCTCTGTTTCTCCCGTGGGCCAGTTATCACTGTTGCTGCCTAGAGGTGTGGCGCGGTGCACTGGGCTGAGTAGTGAGACAGCACCTCACGACCAGCGCTCCCACGCCCTTTATGGCCATTGCTACCACCCTACGCTTTGTGTCTCTGTTTGGGGTGGTAGCAAATAAATGCATTAGGCCCAACTTCTGTTAAGTCTTTAGATTTAAAAAGTAGATTCTACTCACCATTGCCTTTATTAAAACACCTGTCCCTTGCAGAAATATAGGGATTTATACCTAAAATTAAAGTCAATTCAAATATTTGAAAATACAGATTTTTCCGATTTCCTATAGCAGATATTAAATCCAAGCTAGCTTTCCCACCCCTTAATGTGATCATGGACTGCCTCTTCACACTCCCTGCTTATCACAGACAAAGCAGGAGTCAGCTTCACTGGGTGGGAAATGTGCTATATGGATGCACTGGCTCTTGCTGGAAGGACCAAAGCAGCAAAGCTCGGGCCCGGGGCTCATCTCCCTCTGTCCAGCAAAAAGCATACATGGGCCTGATGCCTTTCCTTACAGTAGTACATAAAAGCCAAGACACTATCAGGACATGAAGGGTTTATGATAGTAGTTACTTGTTGATTCCCCCAAACAAAGGATTATTGCTTTGTACCACATTCTGGCTTTCTCAGCATCAAAGCCAGCCAAACTTTAGGTCAGAGAATATTGTCTGATGATGGTGAAGTGATTTTATTTTCAATCTTCCCAAATGCAATGCCTATTTATTTTGTAGCTCAATTTCAGAGCACTAGAACTTTACCAGTGAGTGAATAGCAATCACTTATAAATGGGCATGTGGGCTGGGCACTGGGAGAAAAGCAGTTCGGCTATCTTGATTTTGTGGAGCTCCTTGCAAGGTATTCCTAACCTTTGCCAGTAACCGTCATACCTCTGCTATGTTCAGGTCATCTCTGCTGGCTCCTGGCTTTCCGGGGGCTCTCAGACACAGCCCTGAGGCACTCACAAAGCTAAGTCGCGGGCTTATTTTGATTCCAACACTTTCACGTTAGCTTTACAAAGGATGTTTAAAAAAATAGAAAGCCGTAGGTTTCACGTGGGGGGAGACTGCATTTCTGAACATGCTTTGAAGACATGCGCCAGACACGGATATCACACATGGCTTTTGTTTTGTCTTCTCTATAGTTGTGAGCAGACTCGGCCTTGCATAGCGCGGGGGCTGTTGCTCAGAAACAAATATGCATTTTAGATAAGTCAGTGACGGGCTCTATTCATCTCAACTGAGGAACTCAGGTGTCATTAACTCCTGGTTGGTAGCCAGAGTTTGCAAGATTTATTTCAAATATGTATTAGAAGTAGCACTTCCTCTATTAAGAAGGGACTTCCATGCCTATATATATATATATATATGATTTTTTAAATTATAAATACTGTTCAGATCGATGCCAAACCTGGCGATGATAAAGAAGTTGGATCCAGAGATGAGGTCATCTGGTCCCTGGTCCTACATGTTGGGTTGCATATTTTACACTCCATTTACCTTCTTTTTCAAAACAGAAAATGCATTTTACCTGTGTTTTGCCTGAAGCATATGAATGGTTGTCAAAGGGCACCCCTTATCCTTTGGTCATTTTGTGAACCTTTCTATAAAACTAAGCCAACAACAGGAACAGAAACGTGACGTTTCCCCTGGAAGTGTGGCCTGTTTTTTTGCTTCACGTTTTGCCCTCCTGGACCTTGTGGAGAGAGTCCACTGCCTGCCGCCACATGGACATGCAGGCCACAGTCTAGCTCTGGCCATCTTTGAGGAGATGCTGGAAATCCCTATTTTTACTCGGATTTTACCAATTAATAAGTATGTATGATTCAGCCCATTATTTAAATTATTAGCTTCAACAATGTGTGGGCCTCTCCAAACATTGTGGGGGAGATTGACCTGGCAGGGTACCAGCTGTGATCTCTGCTGGGATAAGGGCTGTTCCTTCTCAGCTAGCACAAGAAATAGGCCAGCAAGGCGTCCTTCCCAAGGGGACCGCACCAAAGGGGACTTCAGTCCTAGCCTAGGACCGCATCTTGCACTCCAGACAAAGAGGAGGTGAGTGGTCAGCCTCCTGTAGGCTGAGGAGTGGGGAGGCTAGATTCTAGGGTCTCATCAGCAAGAAAAAGGACTTTGGGCTTGATGTAATGGGGCCACAGAGTGAATTCTCTCCCTCTCTGCAAAAAAGCTAATGTGAATTGGCTCCTGCCATGTGTCAGGCAGGTCAGGCAGAGAACTTGTACCATGTGACAGGCACTGAACCAGGGCCTTGAGGTGAAAAGACGGAGAGGGAGGGATCAAGGCCCTACGAAGCTTAGAGTGTGGTGAGGGTGGCCCTGGGGAGTGTGTGTGCTGACATGGCCATGCCCTTCTCACTGTCCCCATCACCATGAGCAAACCTCTGTCCAGTGCTACCCTAAGCCAGGCCCTGTTCCAGCCGCTCTGTAGGGATTGACCCACGTAACCACAAAAATCCCATGATGTAGACACCCTTCTTATCACCACATTGGAAGCACCAGGGCCCGTGGGGGGGCTGCCTGATAAGGAACCACGGGCACCCTCCAGGAGCTGAGCACGTCCCCACTGGCAGCCAGAGAGGGACTAAAGGGCTGGATTTTCCCAACAACCACATGAGCTTTTAAGTGGATGTAGGGCTTCAGACAGGAGCCCATTGTGTGGATGCTGGCCTGAGCCGCCAGCTCAGCCAGGCCTGGGACTGTGATGCAGGAACCATGAGGTGAGACGTGGTTGTACCAAAGTTGTCACATGTACTGCCCAGCCATAGGGAACAAATACCAGGATGCAGTGCGAGTCCTGGTGCAACAGGAGAGGGCAAACTTGAGGCTACCCTTGGGAGCTATAAGATGGAGGTGATGCCTCACTTCTGGGATCTTGCAGCCCTGGCACCTAGAACAGTGCCTGGTACTAAGCTAAGCGTGTGTTGACAGACGAAGGGGTATAAGCAAGAGCCCAGCATGACTGCTCTTTGGGTGGGGACAGTGAGGAGTCCAGAAGGAAAGGAGGGTTGCTTTGGAGGGCTTAGCAGGAAAGCTTACTGAATTGAACCCATAAAAAAAAACTGTATTTTGGACTTTTAGCAAAAAAAATGATTAAAAATACTCAGCTATGATAGGAGCAAAATAATCTCTCTTTTCATACACCTCACCCCTGGAAAGCTTTCATTTAAATGAACCTTTCCAAACCTAGTAAACATTGATTTTCCATTACCACAATAATCTTGTTCTTTTTCTTTTTAGGAAAAAAAGAGCTGAGCTATTTTCTAGTTTCAAAATTAAAATCCATTTGACATTTAATAGAAACTGTGAATCCATATTCTCTCTCCAGGTCAGCCTTGTAAAGTGTAGCCCAAACTATTGCTGGGAGGTTCTGTTTGTTTTTTAGACAAGTGTAGAAAAAAACAGATTTGGGAATCATGACGATGGTGATGATGGTAATGGTGATGATGAGGTAATGGCGATGATGAGGTAATGGCGATGATGGTGATGGTGGTTATGATGGCAGCTAACATTTATTGGGTGCATAATCTCTTCCAGGCAGTGTTCTCAGTGTTCTATGTGGATTCACACTTTCATTAAAGATCGTTTCTTTTTCTTTAAACAATAATGACCTTGATAGTCCGTCAACAGTAAAATGTTTACAAAAATGTTGGGGAAATATCCGCCTCCAAACTTTTGTTCAGGCAGAGCTATGCTTAGATGCAAGTACTCCATTTGAATGAATCTGAGTAATCCTGGACACATTTCTTATTTCTGTGCTAGCTCCTTTATCTGAAGGTGGAGCTCATGATGTCCATCTTTGGGAAATAAAGAGAAAGCATGTGAGGCAGAGTCTCACCCTTTGTCAGATGAAAGCTGTGCATACACAGAGTCAGTCTTAGTGCTTCTCCTGCTGAGCACTGGGTTGTTGGCTGCTCCCCAGCCCATGCCTCTAAATGCACAGAAGCAGGGATTTTAGTGTTGGTTGGATTTCCAGAAGCCCAAGGGAAACACTGGACCAGCAATGTGTGCACTGCATGCAAAGTCAACCCCACACTTACCTGGTTTTGTAAATAGGACAACCACCTGGTTTATTGGGAAAAACCAGGGTACTTTTGAGAGAGAAAGGGGGTGTTACAGATAATTACACTCAACAGCAGGAAACCCATCCCAAGTAATGTAGGTAAGAATCGCTTGTGATCTGACACACAGCCGGTGTGCACTGGGGACCATGTGTGAACCCAGCCACGTACCTAAGTTACACTTTTCCAATGGCCACATTAAGAAAAAATAAAAGAAAGTAAATGAAATTAATTTCAATAGTATATCTTGTTGAACTCAGTCTGTCCAAACAAAATTATTAATGCAGCATTTACATTCTTTTTTTCATACCGTCTGAAACCCTGTATGTATTTTATAGGGGATTTTAATTTGGAGGATACGTGTGTGTAGAAATACTTGATTTGCATTTTGACTCCATAAAATCTACACTTGAAAAAGTAGAGTCACATATCCATGTTGTTTCAAACATACTTAAACGTTTTTCAGTACTTGAGCACTGATCTTTAAGTATAAAATCAAATCAATCAAAATTAAAAATGAGAAATGCAGTTCTTTAGGAGCACTGGCTGCACTTCCAGAGCTCTGAGGTCGTGGGTAGTGGGCAGCCCCCGGGCCAGGCCGCACAGGCCTCAGGAAAGGAAGCAAGCG